TAAATCACCCCTGTCACTTGAAAAATCCGTCATCAGAGGGGAAATAATCCTCAGCAAGTAAATACCACAGCTTCCTCTCTTTGCCTATCACGATCTTGTGCTGCTTATCTGCTTTTCTGATGCCATTTTGTGCCTCCAGGCTAAATTCTGCCTTTCATGTACACGCAGGGGAAGGATTCCTCACCCACCCTTGGGCATCCTGCATGGAAATTTGGGCCCAACTGTACGTCCTGTGCTCTGGTACAGCCTCAGCCAGATGCCAAAAGGGAAGGGATGGCTCAGAAGGAGGGTCTCCCCTGTTTTGTGCTAGGAAATGTTGCACCTCAGCATGATCCACGAGTTTCCCTGTAATCTCCCTAATACTTCAGAAGTTGGCTTTGATCCCCTGATATTATTTGAGCTAATGCCCAAACCCTATTAAGCAACCTTGTGACAGGGCCTGGAGGGGAAAAGATTGTGCTACTTCCCATCAAGTATTAAAAAATCAACGTGGAAAGTCCCTAAATGCCAAAGTTGCTGCTCCCTCGGTGGCTGTGAGACCTGGTGACATCGTGGTGCTGTGGTGGCACCGCTGTAGAAGGATGTCCCTGGGTGTCAGTGGGTGCCCAGGGCTCCCCACATGGGAACAGGGTGTCTGGATCCCTTCCCTGCCTGCAGACTGGGCTGGCACGAGGCAGCACATCCAGCAGATGGGCAGAAACACTCCGTGGGTCCCTGGCTCACAAAGAAGAGACAGGTTGACTCCAAGAAGACCCCACATTCCTCCTCAGAGGCCTCAGAGCAGAAAACCTTCATTCAGAACTACACTGTGTTTCCTTTTAATCTGAACACACTCTTAACCTGGGAGCCAAACACCTCCTGGGGCCACTGGTGACAGGAGAGGGGACACCCAGCACCCACATCGGGACCGTCTTGATTTGACAAAGGGCAGAGATCACATGGAGAGACAATCAGTGGCAAAGGGTAAAGGGGCAGAGAGCCAGCAGGACAGACAAAGGGAGGCAGAGAATGAGCAGGGGCTTGTCGTGTCACTGTGACAGTACTGGAAGGTGCTTGTGCTCTCTGACAGCAAAGGTGGCACAAAAAACCCTCTGCAGAACAGCCCAGAGCAGAGCACAACGGGCTGGCTTTGTTCCTCTTTCCTGATGGGGTGACTCCAGAGCTTGGCATCAAGTGCCAGCAGTGCCAATCAGTTCTGGCTCTTCTGTTAAAAAACAAAACAAAACAAAACAAAAAACCCGAACCATAAATCAACCCTCCAAGTTTACAGAAGTCAGAAATCACCAACCAGCTCAGTTTTCCTTAATCCCCACCTGTGATGCACCTCCAGGTGCCCAGGACCTCTGGAGAAGGCAGGATGGGTCCACAGTGCAGGAGAGCACACTTGAAAGCACAAGTGAACACTGCAGAGAGCTGTTTGCTTTGCATTATTCACACTCTTCAAGCCCTGGCAAATTGCTTTTCCTCTGACCGTACTTCACTGTAATTTTTTCAAGCTGAACTGGCTTGGAGAGAATAAGTGTCTGTTCTGAATCTTCATCTGAAATGTCAATTGACTTTGAATCTTTTTGGAAGGCCCAGAAAGAAATAAAAGACTTCCAAGCATCTTTGTGCTTTTGGTGTCTGGAAGTGGCTTCTCTCACAGGAGAGCAAAGAGAAGAAGCAGATCTAGTTGGGTAATTTAATGTGCATAAGGTAATTTACTACGAGGCAACACTTCAGTGCTCAGTGCTTTTAGTTTCCAGCACATGAGTATCCTTGACCTTGCTCTTCCCTGCCCTCAGCTGTGTGTCAGATAACTCTGGGAAGAAGAAACCTCCCTGAGAAGCAAATCTACAAGTCAAAGTCATGATTTGCTTTGCCCAAAAAGGGCCCCAGAAGGCTGGATCAGCGTGTGGATCCTCCCTTTATATGGCGAGGCTGTTCCAGCGCTTTCATCAGCTCAGGTAAAATTAGCACTTTGCTAATTACCCCAGGCCAAATATACAGCTGGGAAAAGTGCACATATTTCAGGGGGATGAAACTCGAGCTGGAATTGGCAGGAACCATCCCCTTTTATCAACATGAGGAGAGGGATGGGAGCTATTTCAGTCCCACATCCACATGTGCAGACGTCGATTCACATGCAACGCTTCCACTCTGCCGTGATTTTCCCCGCTGGAATCTTCCCACCCCAGATCCCGAGGAGTGGAGTGTAAGGTTCTCAAATCCATCCTCCCACATCTTTGGTCTGTATCAGAGGAATTCTGTAGTTCTGGGTCTCCTGTGCTATCAGCCATAGGTTTGCTGGAGGGAGTTGGGAAATGGCTTGTGGTGTGTCAAGGTGTGTGTGACTGTAAAGGACTATATTTGACTGCTTTACTTGGTACTTCTCCAAAAAGAAGGATAAAATGGGAGGGAAGGGAAAAAAGACCCTCTAGCAGAGTGGAAAAAGTGATCACTGAAGAGAGGAGGGCTTAATCAGCATATACAGTGAGTAATTCCAGGAACTACAATAAACACTTACCAAATTTGGTTTCCCACTTCACATCCTACCAGGGGTCACTCTGGACACCACCCCACTGAAATTGGTGGGGTCCCCATGAGTAAGGCCCTTGGCCTGTGTGGGCAAGGAAGGTTTTCCCTTTTGTGCACCCACCAGGCTCTTTTTGACTTCCAGTTGGAGATCTGAAAAGAGACCTACCCATTGATGCATAATTCCTGTTTTTCACACCCCATTCAGGGCATGGCTGTTACAATGAGGTATTATCAGTCAAAATTCCTGCTGGAGACACCCAGTACAGACATTTCAGTGCAGGGCAGTGGCACTGGCGAGGCTTTGGGACAGTCTCCTCCTTGCTGTGGGTTTGCACCACGGTCACATGAAGGCCAGAAGCTCGTTTTGGCACCTGGGCCAAGCAGGGATCGAGCTGCATGAACATCAGGCCAAAAATAGCCCCTCCCCTGTCAGGCAAGTCTGAGAGGCTCGTGATCAAAGATGGGGAAACACGAGGAACAAATGCAATGCCCAGTAGTCAGAGCAGAGCAGCTGCCTGACAGTTGTGGAGCTTCCTCCAGCCGCTGCCTGGAGAAGGGCTGTGGAGGAGGAGGATGATATGGATGGTGCAGCAGATGTTTCATTGGAGCTACTCCCGTGCGTGAGAGAACGCAGGAAGCCGCTCGATGGAAAATGTGCATCCAGGAGTGGACATGGCACTGGAGATGAGATAATTATTAAGGCATTTCTATTTTGGAGCCCTTCTGTGTGTGTAGTTTTACATAATAAGCGTCAGCGTTGCCTCTCTCCACACACACATGTTCCCTGGGCCACACAAACAAGCAGCTCTTTGCCTCTTGTCACTGATACCTCCCCAGGTCAGTCCCTTTGGCCACAAATAGCTCATTGCCCTATTTGAAAGGTTCCTGGTGGAGTGGAGCCAGGTTGGCCTGGCTATATATACCTAAGCTGGCAAATAGAGCCACCTCTCAGCTTTTGCTTCTATATATAAAGAGGAATGATATAGAATAAATCAGCTGGATGGGGGACACCTCCAATCAATTTTATAATAAAATAATGTCCTTTCTGGGTTGATTTACTGTATTGAACCTGAGAGGGCAGCTGCAGAATCTGAAACCAGAGGGTGCAAGTTTGCTGAGGGTGGTCAGGCAATGCTGGGAATTCACTGAAAACAGATTCTCTGGTTAAAACACTGTTTTTTGGGGGGAGTGCTCTTTCTGAATGGCCAGGGGGGGTCCATGGATGGGACAGCACATTGTGCCACTTCGGTGGTGATGGCTGAGCAGCGCTGCAGAGCTGAGCCTGAGGGAGTGTTGGAGCAGAGAAAGGGCGGCGGGGGGCTGAGGACGGGGGTTCTTTGGGGCCGATGTGGCCGATGTGTCCCCGCGGATGCTCCGGGAGCGCTCCGCGCCCGCCGCAGTTCCACCCATGGCCGCAAGGTGGCGGCCGAGGGCCCGCGCGGCGCTGCCGGAGTGGGATCGGGATCGGGAGCGGGAGCGGGATCGGGATCGGGATCGGGATCGGGATCGGGATCGGGATCGGGATCGGGATCGGGATCGGGACCGTCCTGGATGGAGGACACGGAGATGAACGTCCCGGGATGGGTCAGCGCTGGGCACAGAGCGCTGGGCTGGGACAGGCTGTGCCAGGGAGCTCCCAGGAGACCTCAGAGCCCCTTCCAGAGCCTGAAGTGGGATGATAAAAAAGAGGGAGAGCGACTTTTTACACAGTGATAGGAGAAAGGGGAATGGTTTTAAATTAAAACGGGGAGTTTTAGATTAGATATTTGGAAGGAATTCTTCCCTGGGAGGGTGGGGAGGCCCTGGCACAGGTTGCCCAGAGAAGCTGTGGTTGCTCCATCCCTGGAAGTGTCCAAGGCCAGGTTGGATGGGGCTTGGAGCAACCTGGGCTAGTGGAAGGTGTCCCTGCCCATGGCAGGGGGTGGAACTGGATGATCTTTAAGGTCCCTTCCAACCCAAACCATTCCATGATTCTATCCCACATCTGGGTGGGAAATTCTTGAGTATTTGTGACAGTTCAAGGTAACTTTATCTTGTTTTGAACTAAGAAAATATTGACTAAGCGTGAATATCACAGTTTCGAGACCTCCTGGCTTTCTAGGTAGCAACATGAGCCCAAAACAGAGCTACCCAACTTCATACTTGTTTTGCCTGATGTTCATCCAATTCCCCCCAGCATTTCCTGAGCCACCAGGACTCACCCCATAAAAAGCTTTAAATTTTGTAAGTAGCCCCTGTGTTGTGACTTTAATCCCCATGGAAACATGGATCCACGTTTTTCAGCCCAGATAAAAGCTGCAACTTCTCCTTGTTTCGTTCTGGTTCCATTTCTGTCCCACTTCCTCTTGTCTGCCTGGAAGTGACTCCGTTGTCAGATGCTTCTTCCTTCCCTACTTTGGGCCTCCTCTCCCCACCACAGACACCAACTCTTTTTGTTTGCAGGTTCCCAGCTCAAACCAACAAAGATTTAAGAGCTAAAAAAAAAAGCTTACAAGCAATTTTTATTTCCTACACAAACACTTCTCGTGCCCTGAAAAGTACCCCTCATTTCCTGAAGTGAGTTCAGACCTCCTGCACAGTGTGTAAGAAACAAGGGATAAACAAGGGGATAAATATTATGTCCCACATCTGAAAACCAACTTCACAAAAAATATGCACTAAATGATACATGATAATGGGGAAGGAGATGCCAGAGGCCTTAATGAATGGTGGTAAGCAAGGCTGGAAAAATAAATTATATAATAATCTCCTATTATATTCCCTTTGACATAAATTAATCTTGACCCGGAACAATAGTGCTCCTTTCCAAGGGAAAATAACCCAATGCAGTTTATAATCATGAGTCAGGAGTCCAATGCAAAGTGGTTTGTGTTTGCTCTTTGTTGTTAAGATTTTGCTTCATCTGGTGAATTTTGTGGAAAAGTCGGGAACAGGGAGAGCAACTTCCAGCCAGAACTGCCAGTTCCTGCCTCTGGGTGGCTGGGAAGAAGCTGCTGAGCTTCAGCCCAAGGTATTGGCTTTTGGAAGCTCCAAGAAGCACCTTCTGGAAGAGGGGGAGGATCCTGGTGTTTCCCCACAGCTCCCAACTCACTGATCAGCTCTGGATGCATCCTCCTGCTTCCTTTTGGGCTGGTGGGCACTTTGATCCAGTTCATCAGGGGTGACTCCAGGGTTAGGTCTGTGTTTCTGCTCTGGGGATGCAGCTGCTTTTACCTTTGCTGGGTTTCTGGGAGGTTTGTTTGCTTTGGTACTGCTCAGCCCTGCAAGGGGAATGAAAAAATTCCCTGGGAAATCCTCACCTAGAAAGAGCAGAGGAATGAGGAAGAACCTCCCTCCTACTGTCCAAAAGCTGCTGTGTACCAGTGTCCTGCAGGAATCTTTCCTGAGTCCTCTCCTAAGCATGGAGGAATTAAGAACTGGCACCTTTTAAGGTGAAAAACCTACTCTGCACCTTATAAATCTTTCCATGACCTCTTAGTGCCTGAGATACCGAAGCTTAAAATTGTGGCTGAAGGGAAGAAAAGTCCAGTGTGCTCTCAGGAGGTGTGTGGCAGAGGCATGTTCTTTATTTCGGTGTCTTTATTCACAAAAACTCAATGCCTGCTTTGCTATGCATCAGTACACACAGTCTTTATACCCTGAAAAATGAAATTAAAATATCAACCAGGGAAAGGCAGAAAAAGCCAGACTGGTTGAGACCAGCGGTTCAACCAGTGGCACTGGCTGGTGTCAGATGCTGTAGATAAAAGCAGGAGGAACTGTAGGGAATTTGTTGTGAATTAACATGCCCAGGAGAGAAGTTTCTTCCTGATCCTCATCAGTCAGTGGTTGCCTTGCATGCCAACACACACACTACCAGACCTGCTCCTGTATTTTTATTTATCTGCACCAAGAAACACGGGGCAAAGCCCTAAATGAGGCTCCTGGTACTTCCACTTTACAGCAAAGTCATTCTGAGGAAGGAATTTTTTCATCCCAAGAGGCTCACAGGGAACAGAGCTGGGAGAGGGAAAGGCAGCTGAGCTTCACAGCTTAACAGGGAGAGCTGCTTTCTCACACAGCACCTGGAATGTGCACCTCTGGGAGGGATTTGGGGGGTTTTGGTTTCACATCTCAGTGGTATCTCATCTCTCTCATTACCTTTACCGTGTGGTCAAGCAGAGCCACGTGTGTAAGTGCTTGTAACGTGAGCAGTTCAGCAGATTTCGGGTTAGAGAACCCCTGTTTGTGAAAATCAGAGTTGGAAAGTTCCAGGGTGACCATCCTGCCTCAGTCCTGGCAGTGTTTTCTCCATCAGGCTCCCCAGAGCCACCACAGAGGTCACACACCCCAGAGCTCTGTCACTGCTTCACCTCCTCTGTGACACCGTTTCCTAATTAACTTCAATCCTTTTGCCTCCAGTTTAATCCCATATTTTCCTGCCCTATCCAACCATACACCAGATTGTCCCTCTCTCAAACTGCAATTTTGTGTTTGAGAACTGTGTGTTTCCCGACTCCCTTTAGGACTGAAACACTTTAAGTCATTTCCCTGCTTCCTTAACAACATGTTTTCTACATCTCCAGATTCTCTTCGAATTGCTCCATGTCTTTCCCAAAATGTGGTGCCCAACATGGAATAAAGTAACCCAGCCAAGACCAGAGGAGTGTGGAAGGATTATTTCCCATGTCTTGTAGGTTGTATTCTATTTTATACAATCCGGATGGGTTGTTTTTTTTTTTTTTCCAACACCACATAAGTACTGAGACCCTCATACATTTTCCTACATTCCTTCCCATTTTTTTTTTAGACTATTTCCCCAATGTCTGCCAGTGCTCAAATCCAGGATTGAAGAAGATGTTTTCTACTGCTGTTATAGATGGATGCTGCTGGTGAATAAGAACATGAAATAGGTTAATTAATGATCTTTGGAATAACCAAGTCCCTCCAGGTTTCAGTTTTACCTGAAGGGATGATGTGCCAGCAAAAGAGAAATTACATTAAAATAATACATTAAAATAATTACATTAAAAAAATACATTAAAATAATACAGCAATGTTACTACATGGAGTAAATTTCAGGAAAAAAGACTCAGTAGCTATTTTTTCTTCATTAAATGTGAAGAGCTCATAAAAACCCAATTAATTAGTCAGAATGATGTGAATGACTCGTCAGACCTAATTTTAGCAGCCTAAACTTAGCCAGCATTTCCACAACAGTCATCTCATCTCCTTCAGCAACAAATGGAGAGGGATGAACTTTTCCAGGATAAGTGGGAATGCCTGCAGCTCCCTAAAAAGCCAGAGTCAGGTGGGATGAGCTCCCCTGCGAGGGCAGAGGAGTTCCAGTAACCACAGGGAGCCTCAACCAGCAGGCAAACACTGGATTTCTTTGCAGCTGAGGTCGGGTGAGATAAACCCCACCAACTCAGCGGTGGCAAAATAATTATTTTACATCAGTATGAAAATTAAACATAAGGCAAATTAACTGTCATCATCAGGTGGAGAAAGCACCATGAGATATTGCTTACTAAATAGTTACAGAGCAGGCAACTTCCGTGTCACAGCCAACTTCAGAGCATCAACTCTCCTTTTTTTCCAAACTGAGCTGACAGAGGAGTGTGTTGAATTTCTCTGTGAAGGATCATTTTTACACAGCAATCGGAGATAAACATATCTCATTTTGACAAAATCACCCTGTTTGCTCTCCAGATTGATTTTTGCCTTTTCCAAGAAGCACAATATACTAAAAGGAAAAGCGAAATGAAATGAAAGACGCTTTGGTATCAAATATTGCACAGCTCACTCTAAACACACGATCCTCTCCTTGAGGCTCAATGTGATTTTGCTGGTTCCAGGCTGGAGGTTTTCTTTTGATTTCTGACCAGTGCACATGAGGCAGTTTGGCCAACCCTCTGAGCCACCAGAGCCATGTCCCAGAGCCTCCCCACAGCTCCGAGCCAGCTGATATCCCACAACCCTCAAGATGCTGAGAGATCAGCACTTCTGGGAATGGCTCACGGAAAAGCTCTCCAGGAATCCACTGCGGATCCCACAGGACTAGGCAGGGTTTCCAAAGCCACCCAGTAACACTGGGGTCAGTTATTCTTCCCAGTTCACTCCCTCCTGTGAAGAACAGCCCCACAGATTCCCCAGCAGAACCCTGGGATGAGGGTTTCGTCTGAACTGCTGGAGAGGAATGGTTTGTTGGGATGGTGGAGTTTCAGAGCCTCCTAGGAGACTGGGAACTGGCTTTCCAAACAAATTAGGCAGCTTTGAAAAATCTGACCTCGAGGGCACAGTGCATTGTTTTTGCTCCCTGCCAAGATCATTATCTGTCTCTGGGTAAGTCCAACCCGGCAGGGTAGTGAAGTTTACAGTGAGTTTGCTCAAGTGCAGCAGCTCCCTAAAAACCCAGCTGGGAGCTGTTTTGTCACTGATACCCCCCAAACCAGTGAGAAGCTCCTCCTTGCAGCTCAGCACTGTGGGCACGCTGTCAGCGAGGTTTGTGACATTAATACTTGTGCACATGAGTTCATTGTTTGCGTTCTGAGAGCTACCATGGGAGGATCTGTTGGGAGTGACTTTAATTGCAGTCAGAGCTAGATTTGGGACTCTATGGAGAGCCTGCTCAGGGTCACGGCTGCTTTTTGGTAAGAAACCTCTTCAGAAGGTGTCACAGCTGTCATTGGGTCTTCTGGGTCTTCACAGCTGGTGACCAGGGCAACAGCACTGAATGACTTTTGAGTGGTGCTAAATGTCTTGATCTCCAGTGCTGATGACTCTACTTCTTTTTCCCGTGTCTTCTCGGCTCGGTTCCACTCCTGCTCCTTCAGATTCAGCTGCATGGCACTGCAGTGAGGGGCATAAACCTCGGTGGTCTCCTCAAACTGCAAGCAATCCACCTTGTAGTATTTCTTCTTCACATGCAGGACATCGTTAAACCTGTGGCCCCAGAGGATCTCTCCAGGCATGTACGAGCTCCGGGACTGGTGTGAGGTTCCCGTGGAGTCGCCCGTGTAGACGAACGTGACCAAGATCTCAAAGTTGTCCTTGGCCAGGGCCTTCCTGTCCAGGCCGTACAAGGGGCTCTCACTGTTGATTTCATGGACAACCGTCACCGGGGTGACAAGGATGATCTGGTCATTCAGCAGCTTCAAGTCCCTGTACTCCATGGTCATCCTGCCCTCCTTGTCCTCCTTGTAGCGCAGCAGCTGAGCCCTCACGGACCCCTCCACCATGTGGTTGGGCCGGAAGTCGCCAATGCGCCACATGAGGCAAAACTTGTCGTCCCTCAGGCCGACCACGGCGTAGTAGCTGAAACGGATGGTCTGAGCCCTCTTCCGAGCCGTGGCCATCTTGGCCAGGGCCGCCCCGATGATGAAGGTGTTGATGATGCAGCTCAGCACCGACTGCAGGATCACCATGAGGATGGCGGCCGAGCACTCCTCGGTGACGCAGCGGGACCCGTACCCGATGGTCGTCTGCGTCTCCAGGGAGAACAGGAACGCCCCCGTGAAGCTGTGGACGTTTGCAACACAGGGGGTCGTCCCCTCGTCGCTGAACAAGTCCCCGTGCTGGATGGCTATGAGCCAGAACACCAGCCCGAAGAACAGCCACGAGAGCACGTAGGACAGGGAGAATATCACGAACATGTGGCGCCACTTGATGTCCACCAGCGTGGTGAAGATGTCCACCACGTAGCTCTCCCACTCCCCGAAGATGTGCTTGAAGTAGACATTGCAGCTGCCATCCTTGTGGAGGAACCGTTTCTGCAGCCTTTTCACCCCCTTTTCAGGCCTTTCTTGACAAGTGCCTCGATAACTGACCTTATTTCCCTGGATGCTCACGGGTCTGTAGGAACCGCTCTGGTCCGTCGTCTTCCTCATCTCCACCTCGTGGCATCAACTGACAGGACACACTTGAGGTTATTTGTTTTCTTTGTTCATTGGAAACCTATGAAATAAAAGAGAAAGTCCATTTTTGTCTCAATTTCCTGGGGCAGGACTGTGTAACACCAAATCCAAGCACATTCACTCTACGGCCATCACGAGCAAATTTTTTAAGAGTACAGACTCTGACATTCATCACACAACAGCTCTCAGAAACAGGCCTGGAAATATGAGGCAGCAAGAAACTCAAGTAGTTAGAAATGTCCTTATCAATGCTAATTGATTTTGAAATCAAAAACCTTTCTGGTGACCCCACTATGAGCATTTCTTCCAATGATCCCATGAAGTAACCTTCAGATCAGGATGGGCCCTCCTGAAAAATCACAGGAATCACAAACCCTCTTAAAGTTGGCCAAATATTTGAGGTAGTTAATTGCCTGTCGTAATTTTGCTTGTTTTCCTCCACTGGCAGAAATGCCTGGGAGAAACTTCTCATTTAGATGTAAGACTTCAGTAACGTGGGCAGGTGAGTTCAGTGCTAATGGTTTTCAACCAGAAAATGAATCAAACACACAATCACTCGTCATTATTTTTGTTTCAGTATTGCCCAGAAAAACCTGGTCATGGATGTGAACTTTATTGGGCTGGTGCTACAGAGACATATTTGTTCAATTTGTAGAAAATCATTTACATTTCAAATGAAAAAGAAACCTCTCTGGGGTCCTGGAAACCCTCTCGAATCGTTCCCTAAGGTAAACAAAAAAACATCCAGCTGCCAAAAATATTTAAATTTTGATTAATGAGTTCGAAGCAAACATGCAGTGTGTTAATAAAAGTTGGGGGTGACACAAATTTCAGAAGTGATGGGAATTAGGAGATTCCTCTGTCAGAGCAGAGAAGAAATGGATGTTGTTGCAGATTGCAACCACATGAACTTGAGCAGTACAAGTTCTGGGCCATATGTTTAGTGGCTAATAACAAAAAGTTATGTTAGAAATTGAGACCTCATCACCTGGAATTCAGTAAAAAGAGAAAAGATTTAGCTGAAAAAATCATTTACAGGATGCTTGTGAATTATTCATAGGATACAGCACTGAGAAAGGCAAACCCTTTTCCTGCAGATCTCCAGCTCATTCTACCACATCCCAACCTAAACACTGACCAGCCAGAAGTGATGGGGACACAGTAGAACAATTCAAAATTTTTTTTCCAAGTTTCATGCTTCTCACTGATATTTCCGAAGGAAAAAAAAAACATATTTTTGTGGAAAACCTGTTGTTATTCTTCCAAAAGTTGCAAGTTTTTGATGGAAAAATGACAAGTATTTTTCCCATTTTCAAGCTGGTTTCAAAGCTTGAAAAGCCAAGCTTCAGACACAGGTTTCCAACGAAGCCAAAACGTTCATGGAAAATGAATTTAAGAAAAACCAACTTTCCTAGTGGCAGTTTTTTCCCCCTCAGGTCTTCGTTCACTGTGCTGAGTATAAATGAGTGCACACACTTCTAGGCAGAGGAGAGTCAGGCCCATGGAGTGTAATATATATTGGATGGACTAGATTAACAGACCAAGAACTCTCCTCTCATCCAAGGAACAATGACAAGCATGCAGAGACACCAGTCCAAAAACACTTAAAAGCCAAACATAGTTTCCATTTCTTTTTTTCTTTTCTTTTTCTCTCTCTCTCTCTTTTTTCCTTTTTTTTCCAGCCCAGAAATGAATGTGACATATGGTGTCGTAGCCTCAGAATGTGGCCTTCATTAAAAAACACAACATTAATGTTTCCAAAAATACTTCTTGGAATACAGTCTTTGGAAACATTCATATGACTTGCTTTACTCATAGCTTTAAACAAACACTGTAGCCTGGTGTGTTGAAGACGCTTGACCTAACATTTTATAAGTCATATTTAACAACAAACAACAACTGGAAACTGTTGAGTTGTTTGGGTTGGTGTTTTCTGGTTTGTTTTTTTTTTTTTTTTTGATTTAAGGGCCTCATAATGTGAGGTGTGAAAATGAAGCAAATTGTAATCAGGAGCCAATGTAATCTTAAATAAAAAACATCCTCCTGAGGAGCAGTGGAGGAGCAGCACCGACCTCTTCTCTCTGGTGACCAGGGGCAGGACCTGAGGGAATGTTTAGGTTGGATCTCAGGAAAAGGTTCTTCCCCCAGAGGGTGGTTGGGTACTGGCCAGGTTCCCCAAGGAATGGTCACAGCCTCGAGGCTGCCAGAGCTCCAGGAGTGTTTGGAAAATCCCATTTTGGTGGGATTGTTGGGGTGCCTGTGCAGGGCCAGGAGTGGGACTGGGTGATCCCTGTGGGTCCCTTCCACCTCAAGATATTCTCTGATTGCACTGGTTTTCTTATTGACTGATTCAAACTAAAGTTCCTTGAAAACACTCCCAAACATCCTGGGACTCTAAAAGGGACTAAAGTTCCTGAATCAGAGACTGCTGAGTGGATTCCCCTCTCTGGGATTGCCATCAGAAAATCATCCTGTTTCAAAAATGGTGTTTAGATTTTGGTGGTGCTGGCAAAAATCATGATTGTGACATATTTGATTGTGTGGCAAAGGCCACTCTGAATTTATGCTCCTCTGTCACACACAGGAGACAACTTTGTGAGGCACCCTGCTTTAGGAACTCTATACAGAATCTCTCCCAGGAACAGGTTGCAGTGACATATTATGCTCATGGAAGTCTGTGGTGAGTTTTTGGCTGGTATAAAAAGCCATGTAGGAGGTTGGATTTTGCAAAACAATCAAAACTATGTCTGCAAAAAGAAAGAGAACATGATGCAGAGCTGCCTAAACCAAACCCACATAATCCAGCCCTGAGGTTGGATGGAGTCAAAAGGAACCAGTGCAGAACAATGTTGACAGACATACATTGCTCCCAGGATCTGAGTTAGTCTTTCACTGTCATGTTGAAAATTGAATTGCTCAGAGCCAACCTAAAATCCCAAATGTGCTTCAAAGGTTTAAGGAAAAAACCTCCACAGCCTCTCAAAAATATCGAAAAAATAATGCCCAGTATTTTGGGTAAAGGTAACACTGAAAGGTAAACCAAGTCAAAACCTTTCCAGGCTACCTCCTAAAAGCTCCCAAGTGCAATAATAATCATGCATCATAATTAATGAGTCTTTTGCATTGCCTGGTGTTGCTCAGGACACTGAAGCCCAAACACCCACCCTTCAGTGTTTGTAATTATATAAGTCACTGTTATGGTTTGTCCTTCACACCATTAAACAGGCAGGTGATTTCCCTGTTCCAGAGGAGAGGGAGATGTTCCTCTCTCGCTCTGCTGACACACACTGACCTCTGCAGAACAGTCTGAAGACCATTGTCATCACCAAATTATTCCCAAGGACCACAGACTTACACCAGACTTAGGAACTTCAACCTTAGACCTTCAACCTTTCCAACACCTTATTTTTCAAAAGGGAAATATTTCCCTCATCCCTAAGAAAGCCACACAATTACACTAAAGGTCTGACTACCTGGTAAAGATTAACAAAGGGGGTGGGGGAGGATTTAAAAGCATTTTCTACTCACTGGAGCTCCTGGATCAGTCTGCAAATGGTTCTCAGATGTTGCCAAGAAGCATTTTCACCTTCCTGTAATGATGACACACAAACCCTCCCCTTGGTTTGTCTTGCTTTTACTTTCTGTGAGTTTTTTCTTGTATTTCTGGGCATGTTTGTACACATCATGAGCCTCCCCTTGCATTTCAGTACCGCTGAAATGTGCAGCATATTTCCTAACCATCCTTATAAATGTATCTCCCCCTCCAAATAGAAGCTTATTGGAGGTAAAAATGGAGCAGGGAAGCCAGGCTGGGCAGCAGAGAGACAGAAACAGAGAAATCTCAAAGATTTCTTCAGGGTAAATGGCAGAGAGGGTTCAGAAGTTCTTTTAAAATATATATGTATCAGACTCAGAGTTCAGAAAGTCATTTATTCTTAATTATCTGAACCAAGGCCATGATCTTAATGTGTTGGATTCTGAAATATGCTCAGGGAGACACAGAACTGCTCTGGAGACCTGTGTTCATTGACCCCCCCAAACTTGTATTCTTTAAAAATTCCACCCCAGTTCCAACTGGGAGGAGGAGGGGAAGGAAATCCCTGTATTTCAAAGCTCATAAAGCAGCACAGTGGCAGAAACAGGAGCAAACCCAACACCTGCTTACACCCAGTGAGGAGCTGCACCAAGCAAACAGCAGCAGGAGCAGCCCCTTTTTATCATATTCATGTTTTCCTCTAGTTCCTCTTGAACAGAACAGCTGTACCAGAACAACCTGAACTCCTGGTTGTCAGCTCAGAACGAGTCACTTAAAAGCCTGAAAAATCAAGTTTAGCCTTTCAAAGACTTTCACTAAATGTAACATGTCAGTTTAATCCTGACGTTTTGAGTTTAGGGCTCAGAGTTTTGTGAGGATAATCCCTGTTGCACCTTAGCCTAATACCTAACAAGTTGCTGCTACACCCCTTTTATGAGCCTGTTTTCCCATTATGTAAACAATAGGAGTGAATTCTTGTTCGGTGACAACTTCAGTCAACAGCCTGTTTGTAAAACATTAAGCAAAACAATGTGAAGATCTCGGTTCCAGAATAATTCTGTTCTGAGATTAAATCAAAAAGAAAACAACTGGAAACCTCCACGTGAAATTGGGTGCTCCCTCTAACCCCACACACATGGAAGTGGATGTCTCTCTCTCTCTCTCTCTCTCTCTTTCTCTCTCTCTAGGGTTGGTTTAGCAATCACCTCAGCTTCCTCCTGCGTTTTGGAAATGGTCTGAAAGGTTTTCAGCTTTAGTCATTGTTGTGTAACCCTGGAAGACTTTCAGCTCAGAGACCAGAAATGTGACAATTCGGAGCTGCTTTGGAATTGACCCAAATACTTGTCCCTTTAAAAAAAAACCCCACCATCCACAAAATCTAAATAAATCTACTGTAGGACAACATTGAAACTCTTCCTTCTTTCTTCCTTTCCTTCCTTCCTTCCTTTCACTTGCAAAGGGGCATTTCTTCTAATACTTACAACCAGTCATTCTGCTTCTGATCT